GTTACGAAGAACTGCGTGCACTGTAATTTGATTATTAAACGATAGTCTTAAAGTAGTATTTAACGCAACAGCAACAACTCGATTTATCTCAGTATAACATTCAGTTTTGACTATGTATTGACAAGTATTTTAATGAAATTTATGTATTGTAATGGTGGGGTTGCTCCAAGCCGCCAAATCATGTTTATTGGTTGCGGCGCAGAGCAACGATCACAAATGTAACTTTACCTGTTTGTGAATGGCTGTTAGGTTCGTGAACCGAATAAAGAGTTTCACAAGACCAGTCCAGTGTTTTATTTTACAAATAAATATTTAACAAAACTAATGATACAAAGTACAAATGACAGTGATTATTTATATGATACACAAAAGTTATTAGCGGAGTGGTAAGTGTTGTATCCATCCATCCATCCATCCATCCATTACAGCCTATAAAAGTCCACTGTGTAATATTATTGATCATTTTATATAGTATCAGATAATCAATGATCAGTAATATCAGATGATCAGTAATATCAGATATTATCTGATCAACAATATGAGATAGTATCAGATGATCAGTAATATCAGATGATCAGTAATGTTAAATGATCAATAATATCAGATGATCAGTATTATTAACTGATAAATAATTGATTAAAACTATATAAAAGTTTAGTATAAATTTATATAAAAATTTATATAAAATTAAATCCGTAGAAGTAGTTTAATCAATGTGTAGTGTTCGCGTAAATATAAGAAATCATTATGATCAATAATATCAGGATGGTATTAAATGATCAGTGACATCAAAAGATCAATAATATCAGATGATCAGTAATATCACATGATCAATAATATCAGATGGTATCAGATTATCAGTAATATCAGATGATCTATAATATCAGATAGTATCAGATGAGCAATAAAATCAATAACGTCTGATATTATCTATATTTAACGGCTCCGTGGCGTAGTGGCATAGCTTTAGAGCACCACGGGCTCGAATCCAGCACGGAACAAATATTTTTATGGCCTACATAATTGTACCAGTTCTGGATGTTTGTCCTTGTGCAATGTTTGTTTGTAAACTGCCCCCACGATACAGGAGAAAATCTTAGTATGGGAGTTATATTTTTTTAAATTACCAAAATTCAACTTGCATTGTTATTAGATAGTCAGATAGTATGAACGAAATTAGCTTGGTCTATTTTAAGCATAGAGCAACACGGACCACCGGCAGATCGGTAGCTACGAGTATATGCAACCTTTTCCCCCCTTTTCCCGAACGGGTTCCAGCCTGGTTGGGGACTTAGTAGGGCTTGGCGAGCCCACTTTAGATGTGTATTGTCAGCTACGGCGAGAGAGGTGTCTTCCACCCATACAGCTACCACCTCAGCCGAGGTTGTGTCACGGAGGAAGAGGAGTGTTAGTATGGCGATGCGCCACTCGCCCCGTCCTCCGCGAGCCTGGCAGGGCCGCGCCGCTGTTGTGGTGGGGCTGCGAGGGGGAGAGGAGTGTCGGTATTCCTAGGCGCCGCTCTCCCTACCCTCCGCAGCTGAATCTTGTTTGACGGCGAAGCCATATGCCAAATTCAACGCTGGGGTCAAGGAAGCTGGTAGTTCTGAGGGCTAGTTTTTTCCATGCCCCATTGCCTTTGCAAATCAGACTCGGAGGACCTGCCATGGAGCGACAGGCGCTGGTGGGGCTGCGGATGTGTGCAAAAGCATTTCCGTGGCCCTGCCAACATGCGGCGAAGGCGGAACCCTATGCGGTTTTAGTCGATGCGAGTCCGATATAAAAGAGAAAGAGAATTATTGAACGTAAGTGAGAGCTATGCTAAGTCGCATGATCTACAATGTCAGAAAAACCGAATCTATGGTCTTTAAGGCCACGGGTAAGTGTCCCGAATTTATACCTCCAATTTGGCTCGGTGGATTGGAGCTAAACAGAGTTTTCCAATTTAAGTACCTGGGCCACATACTTACCGACGACCTTAGAGACGATTTAGACATAGAACGGGAGCGTAGGGCTTTGGCGGTCCGTGGTAACATGCTGGTCCGTAGATTCGTTCGTTGTATGGATGAAGTAAAGATTACGCTTTTAAAGCATTTTGTCAAAACATGTGCACAAGCAGTCTGTGGATCACCTACACCAAATGATCGTTAAACACCCTTCGCGTCCAATATAATAATATCTTCAGGATGACGTTGAAACTTCCTCGTTTCTGCAGTGCATCTGAAATGTTTGCGCAGGCGAGAACGGATGGTTTTCAGGCACTCATGCGCAAGAAAGTGGCGTCACTGATAAGCCGCGTACGGGGGGAATGCCGACATCCTGAGGACGGTGGCAGATGATCCACATGCACCTATATTAAGGAGCTACGTGCGGATAATGTCCGAATACGTAAAATCTTTAAATTATATAAAAATATTATAGTACTACTAACCCCCTTACTATTAGAATTAATTACTAACCCTTATGGATCTATGTTGTCAGAACATAAAGTGATTTGATTTTATAACCCGTCCTTGCCCCCCGCGAGGCGGAGGCGGGTATGCATGCCCATGAAGAAAAAAGCCATACTTAGGCGTGTCCCTCTGTCAAAGTATGATTCCATGCGTTCTTATGCGTACAATGAAACCAGTTACAGCCGCACTGCTCACTAAACTAAATCCAATTGCGCGGCTGAATCGATGTCAAAAATGCTGAATTATTCAATTTTTTACTGCAAAAAGAAGTCACGTCAAATTTTCATTTGTTTTTTGATCGAGGGCATAGATGACATCCAAGCCGAAAATTCAGATATTGGATGGGAATTAGATCCTGAGGATGAACTACATTTAAACGCCATATCAGGGAGATTAGCGGCTGTAGGATTGATTACTCTGTTACAGGTTCCTAAAAGGTTTGTTACCTAGATTGTTGATCTGAGAATTTTATTCCTAAGGCTATTGATTTATAAGACTATTGATTCCTTAAAATTGTAATTCCTAGGACGAGTCCTAAGGGTATTTGTTGATTTCATACAAGTAATATACTATATTATAATAATAGATATTCTATTGAAATTTATTTACAAATAACTTTTTATTGATGATCTTTAGAAGAGTTTTCAATCGATATTATTTAGAAGATATTTTTTTTAGTTTTATGACACAAAAGAGTCATTTTTTTAATCACTATAATACACTAAGTCCTATATAGTCCGGTCAATCTAGACATTAGGTGATACATAAAGTTACAAGTTGATAATCGGTAAAATTGTTCAAAATATAATTATAAATAAAATTTTGAAGTTCCCCAACATTCTTGTGTATGGAATTTTTTTTACTCAAGGTTAAAGGACAAAAAAATTTTTTACTCAAGGTTAAAGGACAAAAAATTGAATTTTTAAGGATTTTCATCGAAACAGTAAGTTTTATCATAAAAATACCCCTGACAATTTGAACTGAATGACAACTGACAACCTGGAATTTGACAGTTGTAGATCACAAAATTATCTACAAAAAATGTATCGTTACTTTTTTTCCCACGAGCCACTATTTCTGAGATATTACGATTCAAAAAGTTGTAAACGTTCAAAATTTTGTTCTTAATTATATTTTGAACAATTTTACCGATAATCAGCTTGTTGTAACTTTATGTAGCTTTACTCTTATTTTCTGGTCTAATTTGACCGGACTATATATACTTATAAAACATTGTTATTTCAAATTAAAAATATTTAATTATGTTTTGGTTTTATTTAATTTTTTCCCTAAACCATCACAATTGCAAACAAAACCACCAAAATTTATCCCTTACTGGTCTTGGTTTCATATGGAACCACCCAGTACAGCCAAACCCGAATAAATCAGTGAATATCGCTTTAGTTCCTATACACTCCTTAACCTATCCCAATACCAAAAATTCAAATTCAACAAAAATAAAATTATGCCCTATATGATTATCGCCTCGTGGTTGACGTAAGAAGCAAGAGGAAAACTGAAAGAGAAAATTGGCAGCAGCATTTTCCCCATAACAATTCAAAATAAAAACACCTGCCAAGCGCGCGAACTGCGGCGAAACCCTACATATGAGGCAATCTATGGGGAAGGCATATGTTCAGCAGTGGACCCTATAGGCTTTCATGGACGGACGGCTGGTTACAACACTTAACACATCGCTAATAGCTTTGTGTATCATGAGAATAATAATTGTCATTTGCACTTTGTATCAGTTTTGTAAAAAAAATAACTCGTTCAAACAATTTGCACAAAAACAGGTAAGTATTTGAATTAAAACAAGATTTTTCTAATATGAATTTAATATAAATAAGTTATAGAACATCCTTTCCATAAATTAAAGCAAATATTAACCAATATAATACTATTACATTAAAATGTGAAACATGGAATGCTATTAGAAAAAATATATCCTAACTAGGATCAAATAATCACTATGATTAAATTAAACAAGTCACGAAACATCTTATAAAATTTAGAGATTCAACATGTTATATTTTGAATGTTATATTTTTTACAAAGTTATATAATTTTGAATTCAATCATTTAAAAAAAAATATAGGACAGTATTGGAGTATTTCAAAATTTGTACACTTAGACGCCGAAATGTCGATATAATATCTCTTTCAAATCTTTTAAAATTGTTAATTTTTTTCAATATCTTTTGTAATATTTTAATAAAATATAACCATTCAATCAAAAATTATAATAAATTAGGAAGGTAATAGAATTACATTTATGAAATTAAGCACCTTAAATAATTAGTTTAGCTGTTATTGCAATTTGCAATGTTTATCATCAATGAAGATAAATTCTCACAAAAACCAACATTTTTGTTGTTGTTTTTAATTCCTATATAAAATAAGAAAGGCTGTGTTTGAAAATATATTTTTTTGTATTTATATGTATAGTATGTACGGACTCATAGCTTAACAAAAAAAACTACATCTAATTAAAAACTACACGGATGTCATGTCATAACTGGAATCTGGTGTAAGTTTGTCTGCTTGGTTTTCACGCGGGCCCCAGCAGTGCGACGAGCGCGCGCTTATAGTCGCCCGACGTCTCTCCCTGCTGCGTGCCGCGAGCGATACGTGGCGATACGTGGCGATACGTGGCGATATGTGGCGACACGTAGCCAGGCCAGTGCGGTGCGGTCGCATGCAACAGCGTGAGGAAAGAGAGCGGCATGATTAGCAAAGTTGCACTAACATTTCCATCGTCCACAGTACTCTTCATTAAACTAATTTCTGATTTTTTTCAATAAAATAGTGTTGCGTTGATTCATTTAATTAATGTTTATTTAAATTTAAAAAATTCTGATTAAATAGTCGTTGATAAATTTGGCAAAAACAAAAACTAATAAAGAATTATTTCAAATGGCACCGTATTTTCATTTAATAAAGTATTGCGTTGATTCATTTAAATGATGTTTATTTAAATTTCCAAAATTCTTGTTGATAAATTTCTGAAAATTAAAAACTAATACAGTATTGTTTCATATGGCATCGTATTTTCATTTAATTTCGCGGCAAAAATAACATTTAATAATTTGTTACTGGGGTATTTTACTATAGACGGCGGAATTATGTTATTTACATTGCACATATTTTTAATCTTGTAATATAGCATTGTAGAAAATAAATGAAAATATATTAAGAAAATTTAAATTGAAAAAAAAAATTATAATAGTATTAATTTAACCTCACCTCCTGTTTGCGGCCGGCACAGAGCAGTAGCGATACAAAAATTGCCCACAGATTATTATGACGTAAGAAAAAGTCCAAGGTTAAACACGTGTACATCCAAAGCGTTAATAAAATACTATTTTTTTTCTTCAGCCTTACATGCTTTTGTATATGAATAATTAATGTGCTTTTGTGATATTACTTATGGACCTTTGAATAATTTTAAACATACGAGTCTTGGAAACAAAAATATTTTATTATTACTTACTTGAAAACTGTTCGTGACAGTAAATGAATAGTAACATGTTATATTGAATATTATTCAATATTTCAATTTTACATTGATGCATAAACTTTAAAGTATTTTATATGTTTTAAAATTTAATTTGTTTGCTATGTTTTGCCATAATAGTTTGAAAGTTAAAATTAAAACATATATCGATATTAAATCTTATAATTAAAGAAGTATATTGTACTAAATAACGAATCACTGCTATGGGTACAATTAGTCAAGAAAGAATTGGAACAAATATAAAAGTCCTTGGCCCTTTTGGTGAGGTTTCAGCGTACAACTTGGTGCAACATGCGGTGACAAGCTGTGAGGATTAGAAACAGTGTTGCCAACATTAAAATCTAACTCCCGTTGTAGAGAACACTATAATCCCGTCAAGTACGGTAGACAAGTGCCAATCATTCATTTCTAGTGACCGAATCATTCTAGTAAATTTTGTCACGCGTACTGGTACATTCGGATCGATGACTCAAATGGATCCAGTACTCTGTTGAGTCTGTGAGATCTATTGGAAACCGAACATTTTCTATTTGACATTTGTAATAGCGCCATCCACTACATGCTATAGGTAATAAAGTCATTTTATCGAACTAAAACTTATTAGACTTTCAAGGATATCACAGGTTCACAGGATATGCGACTCAAACAGTAAAGAGAGAGAATGAAATAAATAGAGTAGTTGATAGTTTTCTATATATTCAACAGTAGCGCATCATTTTGGCCGACCAACCACAAAACAGTTTCCGAGCTGTATTTAAAAGAATTACGTCAAATGAAAATTTACTCTCTCAACTTTTTAAAAATAAGAATGTATTGCACATTTTTTCGTATTTTTAAACTAAAAAACGAATAAAAAAATCTAAAAGACATAAATTTTTGTTGACCCGTTAAAAAATCCGTTACCCGTTAAACACAATTTTTTCCCGTTGCCAACCTCGCTGTCCCGTCAAATCTAACGGGAATCCCGTCAAGTTGGCAACACTGATTAGAAAGACAACGCGTCGCACATAACGTCTCGTATTTTATAAGAACATTCGATTGTTCTTTAATGCCGTTTTTTTTCAAACTCTCGAAAACACAGCTAATAAAATAAGTTTTATTACATGCTCTACTATTCCATCTGTATGTAGAAAATTGTACTTTCATGTATAGTCAACAGCACTAAAATCAAAATTACAGTTGCCGTAACAAAAAAAAAAACGTTATGTGCGTCACGTTGCGGCGAGCACAACGCAACAAACCTCGAGATCGCTCTGCAGCGTCTTATCGTAGAGCCGTTCATACTCCCTCTTGATGTTCCCGAGATCTATCTCGGCGCGGCTGGTGACGACTCGCACGAGGCAGCCGTCGTCGGTGCCGGCACCTTGTAAAGCCGCGCGGAGTCTTTGTGCAAACCACGCCGCCGCATTCTCCACGCACTCCACTGCAACAACAGTCCACTACTGGGCACGGGCCTCTTTTCTCTATAGGATTTATCACAATCGCCACGCTACACATGTGGATAAGCACAGAGTTACTCGGGTGTATACGGGAACCTTAAAAGGTGTAGATACCTGTTTAAACGATGCACCAGTGACTTACCCACACATACTTCAGCTTCGACGTGCAGGTTCTCATGGAGCTGGTTACTTACGGAGATAAAGCTTTTCACTTTCTTAGTGCTACCTGTCGAGAACACATACCCTGATATCGCTCTCGAGCGTCTTATCGTACAGGCGTTCGTACTCCCGCTTGATGGCGCCAAGGTCTATTTCCGATCGGCTGACGAGGATCCTGATGAGAGTGGAGTCATTGGTGCCGAGTCCTTGCATGGCTTTCCGTAACCGCTCGGCGAACCAGGCTGGTGCACTTTCAACGCACTCCACTGAAAACATTCGTTTTAGCCGCGAACGCGATTCAATATCGCAATTTAGTGGCGATGTAAGAAATTCAGAGCCACGCTGCAGCTTTATTATGGTTGTAGCACGAACGGGTCGGCCTGATTAAGGAAGGACTCACGCGCCAACGTACACCCTTGCACTTTGTATTTGTCGATGTATTTTGTTAGTTAAATTAGCTGGCATAACTTCCCTTCACATCCGTTCCTTCCCGCACGGGCCTGCCTAATGGGGGGTTAGAAATTTGTGGACGCATATTGTTCCTCCAATGAGAGGCACGCTCCGCTTAGGTGGAAGTGGGGACGGTAGGAGCGGTAAAAAGGACATGCATTGCCTCCGCTCGACCAGTGCAATAGTTTTCGTCGCCCTCCGCAAGGTCGTAGAGAGTCCCCTCGCAGCTTCCCCAGGTGAGGTGGTGCCCATTCCTTAATTTTGAGTTGTTTTGAAGTGAAAAATTCTTTAGCACCGTTGTACACTTTTTTTTGTAATGGGTAAAAAATGTTAAACTCGCGCCAGGACATGTGACCTGATCGAAAATTCGTAAGACCTCGTCGAAATTATGGATAGAAGTTGATTTTTCTAAGAGATAAACTTTTTAATGTAATATAAATTGTCATGTTTGTGTACGATAACGCAATAAATAAATATTGTATTCTACCACATAAATGATAGTACTTTTATACTGATAATTAAAGCAATTCGTGCAAAATTATTCCCCAACCATTCCAAAAAATCAAAAATGCACAACGTTAATATGTTTTCACTTAAGCCGGCACTCCCGGAGTGCAACCCGTCGTTTTTTTATTTTACTTTTATGTTCCTATTTTTACAAGCAGCTCATCTTCCGTGGTGTCGGCTAACGCATTAAATTAATTTATAGCAAGTATATTGTCCATATTTTGTTTTGGTTCATTTTTGAATCACGCTAATACAGTCCACCTAATCGTTCGCTCCGCCATACCTTTAGTCATTCGCGCACCCAACCACGCTCTCTCAGAATACCGACGTAAAATAGCAGTTTATTGCTGCTATATTTCTTATAGTTAGTGTAGATAATCGGTAACCGGATACCCTTTTTACTGGAAATGAGGAATTCTGTCTATGTTCTCAGGAGTGACAACACATCTGCATTTTGATTTTTAATCGAGGATAGATGTAGATGTCTATGGGTCATAGCATCCACTTAACATCAAGTGAACTGTGTGCTCGTTTGTTACCAATATACTATTAAAAAACGGTTTTCTTGTCGTAAGTATTGTAAGTGTCGAATCCCATGAAAATGGTGGCGTTATATCTGAGATGTATAAGGCTCTGGTAGTATAAAAGCCATCTTGTATTTATAGATTTTAAAAACTAAAACAGCGACAGGAAGCATTATCAAAGATGCAAGATATCTGATACCAGGAGCGATAATCAGTTTGCAAAGCTGGGAGAAGAGGCCTTTGCCCAGCAGTGAACAGTTTAAGGGCTGGTAAGATAAGGTAAGGTAAGAAAGTATTCTTAAAAGAAGAGTAAGTGGTAATTTTCTCAGCTCGAAATAATTCAGTATTTACTGTAGGCTGCACTCGGGTCGGACTTAGCTAATTACTGTCATTATTAAATATCTCTAGAGAGACTAAATGTCACATGGAATGAGAGGTAAATAAACAGTTAAAACGATTTCAGCTTTATTTAGGCATATGCTAATATCTACTATGTATCATGGGCCAGTATTAATCATGTTCTATAAATGACTGTACATAGCCGTGGGAGGAAATAATTAAGAGAAAAATAATATACGAATTCTGACTATGCACCCTGGGGTGGCTGTCTGAAGGAGGATAAACGGAATAACATTTATATTATAGTAACTAGACTTGCAACGAATATTCGGCTACTATTCGGTATTCGGCTACTTTTATCCTATTCGGCTGAATACCGAAAACTTAAGTAAGAGGTAGAGTAGTCCGATAACTTGTTAATTTTATATTTTTTTCTTGTAATCATTAAAGTAGTCACATCTAATCAACTTCCATATTATATAAATAAAAAAAGAACTAACAGATAAATGTCTATGCACTTGAATTGTCGCAATTAATGTGGAATATATTGGTGCAGAAAGACCAATTTTCTTAATTTTCAGGCAGTAGTTTAATGCTTTTCTTATTGCAGACAATCCCAGCTTCAAAATTCAAATAGACGCTCTGAAGAATAAACTCTACTTCCTTTCCAGCCGAATACTTTTGCCTAATATTCGGCTATTTAGCCAGGAAGTCCGCCGAATCTTCGGTATTCGGCGTGTGACCGATTATACTTTTCGTTACAAGTCTAGTAATAACTTTCTTCTCATCTTCGATTAGTTAAAACATTATATCCGACGATTTCCTATGATTTACCAGAGATCGCTGTTAAAACTAAGCGGCGGCGGGGTGAACTCACCTATAGCGGAGAACGCATCCTTTAGTTCTCCGTCGATCTCCGCCTTGATGGCCTGCTCGATGGTCCGGCCCGCTATATTCTTGTACTCCTCGAAGATGAGCCGCAGCTGCGCGAAGCTCTCGTGTGCCAGAATCTGAGCAGTTAACGCAATATCATATTTATCATTTCGAAGTAAATTCGCGAATTCAAAAATCTTATAATCCAAAATATTATTTCATTTATTTATTCATTTGTGAGGGTAGAGAACTGGATATCCTTATAGTGGGAACTAGGTATTCCATTTGGTCTTCAGGGTTGACAATGCATCGGTATTTTGGTTCTTAATTAAGTATAGATGTAGATGTCTATGGGCCGCAACATCCATATACCACCATCAGGTGGAGTTTTTGTCTCCCTTATTCTATAAAAAAAGGTTTCTATTAATCTGTAACCCTTTTCTAAGAAGGATTCAGAGGCGTTTTTCTCTTGCTATAATCTTAAGAGGTAAAAAAAAAACTTAAACGAATGATGACAAATGTTACATGTTTATTGAATGTAAATTAATGGTATAAATGGGCATAGCCAATCTCCGCACATCTCTGTCCCTGTCGCAAACGCGATTTAAATATAAGATGCTAAGAGGGCAACACATTAGAATTAGATGATAGAGGGGGGGGGGAGAGTTGTGACGTAATAATCAACAGAACCAAGTTGCTGTTTGAAGGAGATACTACTCTATAAACGAGAGTTGCTGCTTGATTTTGACATGGAGATATTGGTAAGTATTATTATCATTTAATATAACACTGTATCTCATTGACTAACGTTACCTAGATGTGGAGATTTCGGTAGATATGTGGGGGATGGTTGAAAGCTCTTCAAAAACTAGATGGTTGCGCCAAACGCATATTTGTAGATTATATTAGCTGGCATCCTTTCCGATCACTCCATCTCCTTTCCGGCACGGGCACACCAATAGGAGGCTAGATAAGTGGCGTTACTTTGGGCGACCAATAAGACGCGCTGGTGGAAAGTGAAAGGTGGAAAACACGCCACCGACCAGCCAGTTGTTGTCGACATGCCACCGCCGCGCCAAGTAGTTGAAGATCATCGCTAGTTGTGATTACACCTCTGCGGCAGTCGCGCCACAGAAGAACCGCTAATAGTGACCGCCTTCGCACAGTGCAACTTATGTCACGCACCACTGCAGCTACAACGAAGCACCATCAACTTAAGGCCTGAGTAAAAGACCGCCAGAAGACCAGCGCCCAAGTAAGTACATCTCCTTTCTTCCTCGCATGAGCTGTTCTCATTCGTTGCCACTCCTTACTTACAACAGCACAAGGTTTTAATTTTACCAGCTAATATAGTAGATTAAGTCCTAGCAAATTCATTGTCCAAAAGCCGGCCACGTGTCACTTCCGCCATCTTGCATTGGTTATAGAGAACCACGCATACAGTCCACACATAGTAAAATCTCTTGACAACAAAGTTGTCTTACATTTAGTTTCAATCGCATAAATGAAACCTGATCAAAACCTAGGTTGTAATAAAATCGCGATAGAAGGACGGGTTCTCACAAATCCCATGGAGTTTTATTCTTCCAAAGAATCTTTGCAGATAAGACTATGTACCCGTTTATCACCCTTATTGAATAAAAAAAAATGTGTGTGTGGAGTGGTACCTTGTTGAATATCTCTTCGTCGGTGCCCCACTTGGCCTCTCCTGCGTCGTACAATTGCTGCGCGGCCTCCGCAGCCCGCACAGGGTCCACGCCGGCCTCTTCGTCCCGAGCGCCCTGTGGAGCCCTCTGATTACGCGAGTGGAACTGCTCTTATGGGACCTTGGACGGTGACACACGCTACTACAGTACTATTTCCCGCTAGAAACGTAGCCTGTTAAGAGCAAGCTAACTTATAGACAAAATAGTTACTTATCTAGAATGTACCTTTACCAAAACTTGATATATTCTGTCAGTCCCAATATAAAAACAGGTTTTCGAATGAAATTATAGAATTGAATGATTTGTGCGTAAAATTTTATACATGAGTAAATAATAGCAACAATTTGACGTGACTTTCTAAGTTAAGGGCCATTTTGTTCTTAAAATATAATACCTAACTAAATTAAGTGTTTTAAGCCTGTTATATTGCCAGAAATCATTTTATGCATTTTTACAAAAAATTCTTTACATAAATTTAAAAAATTAAAAAAGTATGTTTTAAAATTAAAAATGAATAAAAGACATTTATAAATTTTTTCTAACTGTAAGCATGTGACTTGGTTATGTAATCGATATTTGAGTTTATTTTTTAGATAACAAAACTATACTTATCTACAATACTAGTCGGTAGAGCTACACTCACGCTATCAATATTTAGTATTATTAGTGAAATTCTTAAGTAGCGTGGGCTCATCGTCCAAGGTCGATAAGACATTTAGCGAGAAGCACAGTACAGTAGGTGTTAGAATGCAAGAAATACACACTATTCAACTATCACACATAAAAACGAAAAGCCACACAACATACACACGCTCACACAGACATGTAGACAATAGGCATGACATGATATCACCCAAACCTTTGATGAATAAGTCTAATTTTGTTTTTAATCCTTCAGACTAAATTCACGGCAGCTAGTCTCAACTGAAACTGCGCCATCCGCGCAGGACAGGGTTATAGTGCCAAGTGTATACGCAAGCACAGGTGCACTCTCTATTCTCTCACTCTTATAGTCCGTTTGGGATGGTAAACCAACACTATCGGTAAGAGATTCAAGGGCAGGACCGACCGCTTTACGCTACGAAGCTTTCCGAGGCACGGGGATGAAACACCGCCAACTTCGTGACTCCGGGTTGCTAGCTAATGAGAATTTCTTGACATAAAAACCCACGAACTGATATCGGCCTAATGATCAGCAGTTAAGACCCCTTGATCAACAAGGCTTAGTGGTCGTAAACATTTTTCTTTCTATTATTAGTATTAATAAAACGGCCATCGGCGCCTTTTTTTTATAAAATAAGGGTGACAAACGAGCACACAGTCCACCTGATGGTAAGTACATGCTGAGGCCCATAGACATTTCCATTTATCCTCGATTACGAATCAAAACGCAGATGCATTGTCACCCTTGAGGACTAAGATGGAATGCCTCGTTTCCAGTAGAAAAGGGTCTCCGGATCTCTTCACTCACCATACGAAACACAACAGTTCTAAGCTGCTATTTTACGCTGGTATTCTTCTGTGAGAGCGTGGTCCTTCCACGGTCGAGCCGACCCATTCGTGCTACGACCATTATATAGCTGCAGCGTGGTTCTACCACGTATAAACTTTCAACCAACATCAAACAGAAGGCTACAGATGCGTCGTCACCTTTGAGAAGTAGGAATATCTCACAGCCAGTAATTACACTGGCTCTCTATACCCTTCAGAGCAGAACACAGCAGTAAGTGCACTGATGTGCCACTGTTTCACTGCGGTACCTAACAACATGGACTCCTAGGCATAAGGCTACTTGCCTTACCATCTATAATAATGTGAACTATATCAAACGTTGAACCAAATCCATGATTTATTAGAAAAAAAAAATTTCAATGTTGAATTTAAACGATTTTTTTCTTGTCTATGACAGTGTTTTGTTGCTTGTAAATTGGTACAGAAATTTTATAGCAATGTCAATAAATTTTTTATTAACATTGTTCTAAAAGTTTATGTTCTCTTTATTCTGAGCTGTGAAAAGATTCGAAGTAAGAACCTCTTGCCTAACTAAATCGATTACGTTATCAATTAGTGTGCAAAGAAAATGCAAAAGCAATTTTCAATAACAATGTTTACTGTTAGTTATATTATGTTAGTCACATTATCACAGTAGTTAATTTAAATAAAATCGGTTTTTTTTGCGATATAATAACTTATTTTATATTGCTTACGTTTCAAACACCTTACAGCACCCATGGTCACGAGGGGGACTGAGATGTTCGACGTCCCAATGTCATAGTTAACCACGGCTACCTCCAGATTAAAATTATTAATTTTTGGTCCGATCTACGCAGAATGAACTTAAAGTATCTTGAAGTCTGGCGGTTGTAAGCTTGGGTTGGGATTTAATTTTATCATTTACAGAATCCCAAGCAGATGGCAGCAACCCCCGGTGACCATAGGTACTGTAAAGTACTCTAAACGTTTGGAATATAAAATAAATTAATATACGCGATAAAATCCGTAAAAACTAATTTTATTTAAATGTATAGAGTTCACGTAACCACAAGAAATTATTATGGTTACTGTAAACTTATAAACGTTATACATTCTTATACTTCATGCACGTATACGTTCCACGTACTCGCACTCACACACGCACATCGATTCATGTTTACATGCACACAACCAAATACACAACATTCACACATGCTACTTCAAAACATATATTTTTGGTATTTAAATAAACAACAAGTGCAACAAGCAATTTCAAAGGAATATAAGAAATAGCATTTGTGCGCCGTACATATTACCGCGCATTTTTTGGCCAATGAGGAATCTTCCGCTCACCAAATGTCGCGAGTTGACACTGAGGTTAAGTTTTTTGTTACACAATGTCATTTAAAGTTAGTTTTAAACAAAAGTTTATTAGTTTCTAGAGTATTATATTAATACACAATACAATGCTTCAATGGTTTTCTCTTTAATTTTTTTGTGCATTTTTAACTCTTTTTTATTTTTTCTACTTTAATAAATATCTGTGGTTTGTTTTATCTATTTTTAATCTAAGAAATATAAAATATAACTAATAGTACAGAAAGAAACATTAAACTTTACATGATTTGAACAAATTAACTTCCCCACTATGAATTCTGTCAAATGTTACTCATTTTTAAGAGGCGACACTCTGGTGGCAGAAATCGTGGATGGCCTCATTGGACGCAGCTTTTCCCAACATCACCGATTCAAAAGACATCAGTGTACGCGCAAAGAAATGGAGCGCTCATTATTCAAAATAAAAGAATTGTTTTCTTAAGGCTTCACACCTTTTAATATAGTTTTGAATACGGAACCCATCAGAATAAACCCAGACCCCAAAAATTGTGTTGCATATAATGAGGAGCCACGACACATACATGGTGTGCATGTTGACACAGCACTACGCGTTTCAATACATACGGTCACGATGAGGGTCAGCAGCCGTCGGAAGTCGCCCGACGTCTCGGAGCACATGTGCTCCGCCAGGGGTCGATTGTACACTGTGACAATATAACTTATTAGTTTTAGAGTATACATAAGTCCTTATGTAGATACTCTAAGGGTCAGTTCACACAAAGACGAGACAAGACGCGACGTGTCGCGACGCGACACCGCTTGCAAGAGGCCAGTGGTTTCGCATCGCGCGGGGCATGTTGAAGTCGCTGGCAGCGCGACGCCTAAAGCTGAAAGCACATTTGTCCGCACCGTACGCGCAACATTTTGCGGATGGCCTCGCACATTTGTTCGTACGCGCCGTACGCATTTCTTTTGTGCTGCAAACAACTTTTACAGTTTTTCCCAACCAATGGTGTTAAATAGTAAAGTAATAAGTAAGTAAGTAAGTGATCGCACGCATCGCTATGGAAAAAGTCAAGGAAAGAAGATTCTGATTTTATAATATTAATTTAAAAAGCAGTTGTATGGAGAATATTATCCTTTATTTAAAGACTTATTAGATGATGATGAACGATTTTTCTAATATTTGCATTTAACATACAAGAAACTTTAAGAATTGCTACATATACTAAAACCATATCGCTCTATGGAAAACTCAAGATTTAGAAGGCCAATTGAACCAGAGGTAAGACTTGTATGTTTCAGGTAAGTATTTTATTGATTATTAAATAAACAGGTATAATTGGGTTTTTGAATGAAAATTAATTATCAATTTTTATTGTATTTAAATAATTTTGTCGCTAAATATTCATATAATAAATAAAATAAAAAAAACCCTATTTCATTCTCCTACAATTTTAACGGTATTCCAATACAAAGAACATCTACTGTTAGAGATTTAGGAGTTCATTTTGACAATAAAATGCTTTTATCAGAGCATGTTGACGAAATTGTTAACAAGGCTTTTAAAAATCTTGGATTTGTGATGAGAACTTGCAAGCCTTTTAAAGATATTAATACCCTTAAAATTATGTATAATGCTTATGTTCGCAGTATATTAGAATATGCCAGTCCAATTTGGTCTCCCCAATACGCTACTTATAAAAATCGTATAGAACGCATACAGGAAAAATTCATCAATTATCTAAATTATCGTTTTTTCAAATCACCACTTGTAACCTATGAAAATACTTGTCAATCTTATAATTTATTGACACTCGAAAACAGACGTAAATTAATGGACGTATGTTTTTTGTATGATATTGTCCGTGGACAGGTAGACTGTCCTGAGTTGGTGGCGAGCATAACATGCAAAGTACCGTCGCGTCGTGTCCGCCGTCGGCCGCACCCTTTATTGCATGTGCCGTTTGCTGGCACCAATTATGCACGTAATGCGCCTATAAACCGAATGCTCAGGACATACAATGAGATCTTTAGTGATATAGATCTCTTTGTTTTTAGTAAACCAGCCTTTAAAGCTAAAGCTCTTAAAATTCTAAATGAGGTGCAAGACGAGTAAATCATTTTGATTTGCTTAATCATGATGATCATCATTACATCCCTTCATAAGTCCACTGCTGAACGTGGACCTCCCCCAGGGAATGCCACAAGGCACGATTCTGAGCCGCATGCGTCCGTCGACTTCCTATATGTCTTACCAGGTCGTTACTCCATCTAGTAGGACTCCCTACACAAAAATAAATAAATAGTAATGAACATAAATCAACTCTATTATAATATGAAAATGAATTCATACTTTGCATCATTTAGTATAATCATTTCTTACTTGATTGTTGAGTGTAAATCTGACATAAGTGTAACGGTTTAGAAAAAAAAAATAAGCAGGTGTGATATTTCATATTTCATTAAATTAAATTACATAAAAGAATGTTCTGCACTGGCTGCATGTAAAAGTTTTGCAGAGAAATAAATAAAACAAATATTACTTCTACATACACATATACAAAAGTGTAATTAGTATAAACATTTAGTTAGATATCTGTGAACATATATATATATATATATATATATATATATATATATATATATATATATATATATATATATATATATATAATTGGATTAGTACATACATATTATAATAAATCCAAAGAATAGTTAAATTGTACCGTCCATAATATATTTTGTTTATATAACTGAAAAAAACCTTTAATAGGCCCTACATTTAAGCTGTATACTTTAAGTCCTTAAAATTGTTAAATCGCTGTTGGGTTTTTTTAAATAAAAAAAAAATAATCAATGCAATTTTTATTCAAAGTATGTGTAATTACGTATTAACTATCAGTTATAAAGTCTTGTTTGACGACTCATTGTTGCCTACATAATAAAGGAAAAGACTAATGAAATAAAGTAAAAATATATTTCAAAACGAAAGTCGAAACCTCCAGTTTTAGTGGAAAATCCACTAAGTTGGCAACATTAGACAACACTGAGAATCAGTATGCGCCGAACGCGCCGCATTAATTATTTGACGTCATCAGCATTCGTCCTTCAATATTCGGATACCTACCGCATTTATAAAATGCGGCCCGTACGGTGCGGTGCGGTTGTAACGAGCGAGGTTTCATATGATTTCATACAACGAACTTTAAAATGAGGCGCCTACGGTGCTGACAAATGTCCGTTCAGTTTAATGGTAATTAATAGTAGAGACAAGTCGCCACGGCGGCCTCAGCCAACTCACTGCGGCGTCTCGTTGCGTCACGCGGCGCGGCTACGCGCTACGCCGCGAAGCATCTCCAGGCACAACGCGGCCCAAAGGGAAGCCCCGGGGCATTTTCGAATTATCTCAATAAAATGTGTATCTTTTCGTGTAATAAAGAAAATTATATTTTGTATCACTATCTTAAAAAGTGGGCGCCGCGTCGCGTCTCGTCTCGGTGTGAAATGACCCTAAGGCCTCAAATTTCTCGTCATCTTTCATTAGTTGCTTCTGAATGAGCGTATGAAATGCATCATAACCTCTTTCTGTTAACATGGGATGTACCCAATATCGTCTTTGTATTTTTTATCGTCTTTTTTAAACTTTTTATACATGTACCACGCAATAATACATTGTCTCTTTTTAACACTCAACATTTTGTACGTCCACACGTCCACGTCGCACCTTCACGAAACCGGATCGTGTACAAACCGTCTTGTGTGCAAGCTTAGACGGTCTCCCGGCGCCGGCAAAAACCGGGCCGTGTTAAAACCGTCTCGTGGGCAGGAGCCGTGAGATTATAGGTAAGATATAAGATTATAAGAGTGTAAGTAAGAAGGTTCCAGATTAAAACATGATATGGGCCAATCAGTTTCCTCTTTGTGTCCAGCCAGGACCGCCCATCCATAGTGGATGAACTATGAGTTGTGAAGGTAATAAACCGCGGGATAAACAGTTGCTGAGGTTGTCACACCCAGGAATGTGATAAAAATATTTCGCGGGTAAGAGGTGTTGAATAGTAATAGTACCTGCGCGACGAAGTATCACTCGACGTTAGAAATATATTGAGTAGTAGTATAGTATAAATCTTTGAATTTAAGCGTTTAGTTAAAAAATCAGCAAGGAATAATAAATCTCTATATCTCAATCAATTGCAGTCCATTACTCCCGCTAAAACTCAAAACCGACTTGATCGATTTTGATAATTTTTTTTTATGTATGTTAGAATGGTTTCCTAGATGGTATAGATTCACATTTAGACTCAGTAGGTGGCGCTGTTGTCGGGATCCAAAAATCACCACAGTTAAAAATAAATAAAGTTTTAATGATACATTATTATATTCATTTCCAAACAAAAAGCTACACAAGTATTGTTTATTTATTCCTAAGGACAACGATGGACGGCGGCGTAACAACCTTTTTTGTTTGCTTCATTTTTGCTGCTTTTCAACATCCATAAATACGTAAGATACACCTTCCTAGACTTCGTTGGAGGAAAAAGTCCCGCTAAATAGTAAAAGATTTAACAATCATTATACTATACTGTCAACAATTATAGTCTACCTCTACCTCCATGCTCTGAGAACGCTTTTCCCTCCTGCCTCGGAAAACACATAAGGCTATTGGTCCCGTGCCTGGTCTCACTCTTACTCCAGTGGTGTCTGATTGCCGGTCCATCGCACTATGAGAGTGAGTGAATAGAGTGCGCCTGAGCTTGCGCATACGCTCGGGCAATATAAATCAGCTGTGCGCAGATGACTAGTCTCCGTTGAGACCAATCGCCGTGACCGACATTTGCTCTGGAGGACATTATTATTATTGCTATCCTCAGACCAAGTGACGGCGAAAACACAGTCAAACCTGTGTTCAACTTATTATAATCTTGTATCTCTTCAATGAGGTAATCTGACGGTGCGGCCTGTGCTTAGAACAAGACTTTTGATATGCTGAATAAATTACTAAAAAACTATGGCAAATATCTCCCCTATGATGCAGTCTATGGGGAGTCCTATGTTCAGCAGTGGACTTTAATAGACCCTAACGGTAACAGTTTTTTTTTAAATCTTACGTCTCTCGTAAGCGTCTACGATGGCCGCGATTTCCTTCTTGGTACGCGTGCAGAGTATTTCAATAAGCACGTGCTCGTCTGTGCCCAGTCCGTCCATGCACTTGTTCAGTTCCTTGCAAAGGTATTCTTCCGGGGGCAGCATCAGCGCCACTATCACGTCCTCGAAGTGACCGCCCAACTCCGACTTGAGGTCATCTATTAAGTCCTGAAACAGGTTTGTCGATTTTAAGATCTACGTATTTGATTATTCTTTTACGTAGGTATCAAAGCCCTGCTGCAGCTATAGTTGTAGCAGGAATGAGTCCGCTGGACCGGGAAGGACCATGCTCTCACAGAATACCGGCGTGAAGTAGTTGCTTAATGCTGCTGTGTCTTGGATGGTGAGTGTCGAGTACTAGAGACTCTCACTAGAAACGAAGCATTCCATCTTAGCCCTCAGGGTCGACAATGCATCTGTATTTTGATTTCAAATCAAGGAGATGTAGATGTCTATGGGCCATGGGACACTAATGTCGACTGTATGCTCGTTTATCACCCATATTACGTACGTGGTAGAGTCACGCTGCTACTATATAATGGTTGTAGCACGAATGGAGTCGGCTCGACCAGGGAAGAACCACGCTCTCACAGAATTCCATCGTCGCAGCTTAATACTGCTGTGTTTCGTATGATGAGTGTAGAGATCCGGAGACCCTATTTTACTGGAAACGAAGCATTCTGTCTTAGTCTTCAGGGGTGATAACGCATCTGCGTTTTGATTTTTAATCTAGGATAAATGTAGATGTCTATGGGCCACAGCATCCACTTACCATCAGGTGGACTGTGTGCTTGTTTGTTATCCTTATTCTATAAAAAAAGAAAATATTCTTTAATAAAAAAAACATGTATGCAGCGGCGGTAGAAGTGAAACCTTCAAAAAATGAAATATAAAATAAAATAATTTCACTTCAAATTATTTATTTCATATGATAATTTTCAACTACAAGCGCGACGTAAAATATAACATAGTATAAAGATTAATTTTTACCGACTTCAAAAAAGGAGGTGTTCAATTCGACTGTATGTTTTTTATGTGTGTTACCTAAGATCTTTTGTCTGGATGAACCGATCATGATGATTGTTTTTATCTGACAGCTGGTGCTTCTTGTGTGGTCGATGAAGCGTGGTGTACAGATAAACCTTCTTAGGTTTTTTGCTACACCGTGATAAAATAATTTAAGCTTTGCATTTGATTAATTAAAAAAAAAACAGTATTAAGCTGCTATTTTACGCTGGTATTTTGTGAGAACGTGGTCCTACCCCGGTCGAGCCGACCCATTCATGCTACAGCTACTCGTAATATAGCTGCAGCGTGGCTCTACCACGTAAAGATATTTCTATCTCATTCTGTCACAGGCTAAATCCTGTAGTAGTGTATGTTTGTCTTTTTTAGTTTAGCTTGTCCGTTTCGTAGACTTTAAAATCACTACGATTCTAAAGAACATTTTACTTCAAAAACTTTTATGGCGGAGTCTACTTTTTTGTGAAATGGAAGAATAAAATTAAGCCTCTAAGTTGTGGTTAATGTAGTTTTTGTTTCATTACTGTGTCAACTCCGTATCATCCCGTGGCTATCGTAAGAGGCGACAGGAACTTGGTCAGGAGGAGCATCTCCCTGATAACAACTCAATATAATAAAATACTGCAGTTGCCAACCCGCCTCCCAAGCGTGGCAACTATGACAAAATTTCCTTCTGTAAGGGAAGTTATGGGGGGGGGGGGGGGGTAACTATATTCAGCATCGGACTTTTGCTGTAATGTTAAGAATAAATAATTACTGTTTCATAATGACTCATCGGTCACGCTACCTATATAGCAAATTACTACAAGGCGTGACCTGTATCGTAAATTACAGGCGTGGTTCATCGATCTGTCTTTACGTAGCTGTTTATATAAATTTTAACGCTTTTAAAACATTTTTTCAAACCTTTTTATTCAATATTTTTTATAGATTAAGGATGACAAACGAGTACACAGTACACTTCATGGTAAGTGGATGCTGTGGCCTACAGACGTCTACATTTATCCTCGATTAAGAATTAAAACGCAGTTGCATTGTCACCCCTGAGAACTAAGATGGAATGCCCCGTTTCCAGCAAACTCCGGTTCTCTACACTATAGACGCTATTTAACGCTGGTATTCTGTGAGAACTTGGTTCTTTCACGGTCGAGCCGATCTATTAGTGCTACAACCATAATATATCTGCCACGTGGCTCTACCACGTGTATATATTAATGGCAATCACAACCGTATAGTGACGGTGTAAAAATGTTCATTACCCCTTATCGTCTCGTAGGTGGCATAAGAGGCGGCAGAGGGAGATTGAAACAAAAACATTTATTTCTCCCACTTTTTACACAGTTACATTTGTTTCATAAATAGTTTAAGAGTTTTGAGTTGTTGTGGGAGAAAGGAGCCCAAACTAGGTTACCCTGTGCTATGGGTGTAATGGAATCATAATGAGGATATCTGTAATAGAACAAGAGTAGCCGATATAGCCCAACGGATCAGTAAGTTGAAGTGGCAAAGGCCCTGTCATGTAGTTTGAAGAACCAACAACCGATGGGGTGAAAAGGTTTTCGGATGGCAGCCTCGTACCAGTAAACGAAGTTTAGAGCGAGTCATCACTAGTTGGGAGTGGCGACCTGGTTAGAGATGGAAGAAATCGATTGATATAGGTGGTTCATCCTTGTGGGAGACCTATCAGCGTTGGACGTGATGTAATGGTCTGATATGATGATGATGGTGCAGGATAGAAAACGAAAACAAAATGCACCAAATGGTAACAGGATGATGAGCAGAAAACATGAGACGTATCGAGGATAAAAGTCCGCAAATGTTTACTGCTAACATGAGTTCATCAGATATCTCGCACCTTCGACGCTACTCCCCGTTGACGAGCCAGTCTAGGTATGTTACGTCTGGCGGAAATGGGATGATTATATCACCACTACCTCACGAGGTACCTTGAGAATCACCAGCTGATTAGTGAGCGCCAATACGGTTTCCGTCGGGGTCGATCAGCTAGTGATCTTATGGTCTACGGTCGAGTTTGGCACTATGCGCTTCTTTCAAAGCTCCCTTCTTATGGGCTTCCCGAAAAATCGTGGAATTGGATCTCTAGTTTTCTTGCTGATCGGAGCATCAAGGTCGTAGACGGTGTATGCTTTGATTACAAGCCTATTAAAGGTTATGTTCTACAAGACTCCGTGTTATCACCAACGCTATTTAACTGGTAACATTCATTGCTATGCGGATGACAGCGCTGGTATGCTTTATACACCGACCGTCGGCCGTGCCAATATTTCTCGGGAAAACATCGCCGAGTACCGGAACAAACTTGTGTTTGAAGTCGAAACTTTGTTGTACAAAGCATCGGACTGGGGGCGACTAAATCTAGTGTAGTTCAATCCCCAGAACACACAAGTTTGCACATTTACCGTTAAAAAGAACCCCTCTGTCGTATCTCCTCAGTTTTAAGGCACTCCCCTTGCTGCCTCAGCTAGCATTGGGATCCTCAGCGTCGAAATATCGAATAAGGTGCAGTTTCGTGGTTATTTGGAAATTAGGCCAAATTAGCCTCTTAAAAGCTTCGCGCGCTCAGTAGAGCGGGACATTATTTCATGCCGGTACATCGCTTGCAATTTTACAAGGCGCAAGTTCAGCCTACATTGGTATAATGTTCTCATCTCTGGGCCGGAGCACCCCAGTGCCAGCTCCTTCCACTTGACCGCATCCAGCGCAGAGCGGCTTGGATCGTCGATGACTGTGTTCTTTCTGATAAGCTCGATTCACTGGCGCTGCGAAGGGATGTTGCATCCCTTTGCATTTTCTATCGCATCTACCACGTGGAGTGCTCTGAGGAATTGTTCGGATTAATTCCAGTCGCCAAATTTCACGAACGCACATAGCGTCAAAACTCACGATACCATCCACACCATATGGATGCTTGACGGTCCATCACTGTGCGTTTCACTAGTAGTGTTTCTTCCTCGAACAAACTCTCTGTGGAATTGTTTACCATCGGCGATTTTTCCGGACCGATACGACTTAGGGACCACTAGCGCGACGCGTCTTGCGTCAAAATAGCAATACGAGACGAACGGGAGGTGCCACGTTGGCGCGTCTGGCGTGCGCGTCAGGCGACCGCGACCAGCAAAGGACATATTACGTGTTTGCACGTCTTGCGTATTAATCAAAACGTGTTGATTTTTCCGCGATGCAAAATATAAATACGGAGACGTTTATTAGCGAAATAATGTCTCGGTCTGCAATATGGTCCAGTAAGCATGAAAATTATAAACATAATATTATATTTCTCGAAACTTTTGTGAGTATTGACGTATTTCATCTTACAGTCTACGATATTCATCAAACTGACGCCTGTCTTAGTTTATATCATGAACTGTATTTTAATTTGCATTATATATTGTGCAAAAAACCCTTCCCTTCTGGACACGAAAGTGCCAATTTAGAAAGCCTCATTTTTTAACCCTCGCAAATATAGCAGGAAGAAACCACATGTCATGTAGCCGCCTCAAGGTGGCACACTACAAGCGACAAGTCGCAGCGTCTTCACTCCTCCCGCCCCCGCAGGTCGCCTCCGCTGTCCGCAGTCGCTCTAGCGTGGCCAACTCGTTGGTGTTGTAGTTATTCATAGGCAGCGGTAGTCATTTACTATCTGGTGACCCGCATGGTCGTTTGCCCCCACTTCTATAAAAAATTATCGGAGTTCATAGTTTTTTCCTTATGACAACTACGGGATGCAAGACTCTCTTATGCCACGACCACACGACTATTGTTTGTGGTCAATGGATATCAATATCTATACTTGACTAGCGATCCGCTCTGGCTTCCTGGCTCGTGATTCCTGGGAACTCGTCAACAGCGCCACGTACCAAGTCCAATTGCGAGTGAAAACAATCCAGAGACTGACTCAGACAAAAAATTTCATCACAATCGCTCTAGCCGTTTAGGAACAGATCAGTGACAAACACACATGCAGAAGAATATATATAGATATATAAAGATTGACAATCAAGATTAAATGGATTATTACTCCTGAGGAATAATATGGCATGTCTCGTTACCAGTAAAAGAGGTTTCCGGTTCTCTGACTTAGCGGTCAGCCGCCGTAGAGTCTACATCACCTGAGGATGCCTCGTGTAGAGGCGAAACACGTATCGTATTGTCGTCGATGGTGTGTCTTACCTGGAATAGTGGTGTTGGAAGTAGTGGTGCCGGGAGTAGTGGTGTTGGGAATAGTGGTGCTGGGACTAGTGATGACGGAGATAGTGCATGCGATTGAGGGAGGGCGGGAGGTGTTTTTCAATCCAGGTAAGACACATCATTGTATTTAGTTAGCGGAAGGTTGCGAAGTTATTAATTTTTTATTTCCGGTTCTCGTCAATACTACAGAATCAGCAGCAGCATTATGTTTCATTTCCGCTATTATATTGAAAGCGTGCTGCTACCCTGGATCGGATCGACCTATCCATGTTGCAGCAGTAATACGCTGCAACATGGATAGGTCGATCCGATGCAATGTTACGTGGCAAGTGCAGCTTGCACTTGCCACGTAACATTGTGTCCACCGCTAAACATGTATCTAAAGGCATACATATTATATCTAGGTGCGCGCCAAATTTGAAACTTCCTTGTTACATGAATCACGTTTTCCATTCCGTATTACGTATGTGATCATCATTCGAATCATCGCATTACGCTTCGGCTCGCAAAAGTATTTATTACATCTTAATTGTATTTAATTGTAATAATTAAAAAGATGTTGTTACGTCCGAGTCTAGACTGGCCTATATCGAATTTTAAAAATTGGAAGTGTGTAAGAAATGATATAACTACCAAGAGTACGACAAAGCCAAAACAGTAATTCTTTATTAATTTATATGCATAGTGAAATATTGGACGTGACGTCACGCTCTGTACAACAACTATAATGGCCTCCAGACCGAATTTCGGTCATGTCGGCCAATCTCACCGGAGACTAACAATCTGCGCAGGACAGGATCATGGTGCCCGTGTATGTGCAAGCTCATGCACACTCTATTTCCTACTCTCATAGTCACTAGCCGGTAGTAGTAGGCACTGCAGTTGTGCGCGTTCGATAAGGCGGTGAGTAGGCGTCGCCCACATCTCCACCAGGTATACCAAAACTTTAAAATTTATTTAACGTTATTGCTGAAGTAACAGACTTTTCAACTGCAGCCTGGTAAAGTTCTATGAGTTATCTGAAGTATCTATGATGCTGTAACTGTTTTTGTAATTAATTAATTAATATTTTCTTAGGGAAAAATAAATTCAAAATCCGAAAATGATTCAGGTCAAGTATACACAAATGGTAAAACATAACCATATTTATGTACTGGTTAATCAGAAGAAGAAAGAAGAAAATTCGCAGAATACAGTTTAAGTTTTTTTTAAAAAATAAAGAATATTAACAATGTTATAAACATTACTAATAATCCCCTTAACCACTCGTGGTAAGCTTAAATTGCTTGTGTTACGAGTGGTTCACGCCAGTAGACGAATGGCGGATTCGAACACACGACCTTTTGAGTTCGCGGTCCGCGCCCAGCCATTAGGCTACTGTCGCTTGTTTCAAACTGTATTCTGCGAATTTTCAGACTGGCCCTAGTAATAATGGCTTTGATTGTTTTTTCAATAAAATGGAGCCTTGAAATTATGGATGATTGATGAGTGTATATTGTATAGTACTAGTGACGACGACTACAATGAAAAAGAATAGTCGGATAAATATTTTTATGTACGTATGTATTATAGGTATACTAGTACCGTAAAATATCTTTTGCTTTTTAGCCCGCTACAAAAAGGACTATCTCAACTCAATTCGACTATCTTTTATTTCTTTTTTGTATGTTTTGTAGTTTTTCTTTTTTGGTTGTGCAATATCTTCTACAATAGTAAACCAACTTCTTTTTTAAAAGGGTGGACGGCACTATTCCCCCAATAATTCCCATAACCCCCAATATTCCCATATATATATCAGTAATTCAATAAGTGATATTTACCCTGTCAAACTCATGCGTGTAGGCTTGCGAGATGGCTTGGCGCTGCGCGTTTGAGCGTGTGGTGAGGATGTCGATGATCGCCTGCTCGTCCGTACCAAAGCCTTTCATGGCAGCTCGCAGAGCAGCCGCGTCCTCCAACGCGTTGAAGTTCGACACGCCCACCACAGTTGGTTCCCGCTAGTAAAACAAAGAAACAAATCACATTTAATAAACAACATTTGTACAAAAACCGTGTAGTTGCGGTGTAAGAATATCCAATACGCCATTTCGTTCAGTTGGTTTCGTAAGAGGCCACAGAAGGAACCAAATCAGGATGGAAGGCAAAGTTTTCGTGATAACAACTACAAAAAAAATGCAGTTGCCAATTTATTTGTCAAGTGTCGCTACTGTGGCCCATCATTGTTTATGACACAAGCTATGGGTAGGCCTATATGTGGGCTTTGAAAGGCTGTAATGGCGATGATGATGAGACATCAATAACATTAAAACAGACTATCACAAAACAAGGCCCTAGCCCACATACATTAACTTGGCTCCAATGAACGAAACCATTTGAAGGTTCTACTTTTATGAGGGATAGATCTATAGACTTATTATACTACTGAATATGGACCGGGTCAGTAAACAAACAAAATGGCACGGACTCCTTGGTGCGAAAATGTTTATGGATCAACATGAGCTTGATTGATTGATTGATTAACCGGCCATGTACACTTGGTAGTTTAATAAGTCGCGAAGTTTTAATTCGGCCGCATTATATGCGTGCCGTAGTTCCAGTGCAGTGTTTCTACTTTTAGATATTTTGCACTATTTTAAGGTAAATCTAGTAATATAGGTAGGGCTTTAGGTATTTCTTCAAGTTGACAGGGTTTTGGATAATTTGGGGTAAAATCGAACGTCAGGTAGCCCTGTTTTTTATACCCACGAAATGTAATTTATTTCAAAGATTTATCTAAGATTTATATAAGGGGATAGCCAGAAAAGTGTAGAATGAAAGTTTTAAGCTATTGCATAGCTTCTATCGCGGGCCTTGAGTGCGGGAAAATCCAGAAATTTCGTAACGAAAAAAACCTCACGCTCTCCGACGGGCACGGAGGTGTGGCTTGAAGGCCGTGCATTGTCTAACGATGGTCTAACGTCGTTTCTTTTCCTCAGTCTTCGACACAGTGTTTGTGTATAAAGTGTTTTGAAATTTTGAATATGAATGAACAAAGTGCATTTATTATTAAGGCTGCTCTCTCGCAAAAAGCTTGAAAAAAGCGTGCAGATGAACCAACTTTTCATCGTCACTTACAGAGAAATTACATATGAAAAAAATAGCTAGTAATCTACATGATCTGATACGTAATTTGGTTTAGCCATAATTTTTCTATCGGTGTCACATAATAAATAAAAAAATACCCAAATCACCTCCAAATCGTTGAGATGAAACCACTTTACTCCTTCATTGTTTATCAAAGGAATATAAAAAAAATATCTACTGCTTTGCAATACAAATAAAGTAATTTGGTTTGGTTACTTTTTAGAAATATGTATTATTTTTATGATAATAAATTAAAAATGCGTCCCGATTAAATACTGCGTCTATATCACCCCCCGCATTCGTCCACGAATTCAGTGCGGGGCGCATCGTGTTGCTAGGTGGACGTACGCCGCGTTGCGAGAGCTCAGCACTACGAAATAAAATCGTAAAATATTACTGCAAAAATTTAAATTTGTTAATAGTGGAGTAGGTTTTTTCTGATTCTTGTTTAATAGTAGTGTTTTATAGTTATATTAATTGTACAGTTTTATTAATGTTTAAGTTTAGTTTGTAAAACATGGGGAATAAGCAGAAACGATTGAAGAGAGGTCTAAAAAAATATTACAAACAAAAGGGTATATATTTATCAAGGTAAGTAATAAGTTTTATCTACATATTTCATAATATTAGACAGGTGCTGTTTATAAAATACCTATATTAGTGTGATGTCGCCACTCTGTGACGAGACAAAGCACGGCAAACGCAAGTGGCGGCAAGGCGCGGGCCGCGTCGTCGCATGCTGGTTTACCTCGAAATTCACTATACGCGATTATCGTTTATTGATTATATGATGTTTAAAAAGTATTCTTATCAGTTTTTTTTTGTGTTAAATGGATGCTAAATATAAAAGAATGCTTCAGTATTGATAGCAATTTATTAACGAAATATCTGTTGAGATGTGTCTACAAATTATTAATACTTATTTTTATTTATTTATTAAAATAAAAAATAAATAAAAATAAGTCTACATTTATCTATATTGAGTACTAGTTATTCCCCGCGATCTCGCCCGCGTGGAATATGGATTTCATGGGTTTTAATTTTTTTGCGCGGAACCCTAATTCTTTTTCTAAAACAAAAGTAGTTCAAGTTATTCCTTATATCATCAGCTATCTGCCAGTGAAAGTCCCGTCAAAATAGATCCAGCTGTTTCGGAGATTAGCTGGAACAAACAGACAGACAGACAGACCGACAGACAGACAAAAAATTTAAAAATTGTGTTTTTGTTACTAGTACTTTCATATGCATTTAATAAAAAGCTGTTATTTTAACATTACAAACAGACACTTCAATTTTATTTATTTGTAGATATAGATATAAGATATTATTCATATTGGTGTCATTTTAAAGGGAATATCATGTACTATTATAATAATAAAATAATTGATAGGACTATGACACCACTAGGGGAAGTGAAATTTTGATATAGGTAAATTCATGTCTTTATCTTGAATTTGATTGCTCTAAAACACGATAGTATGTATAATTTTGACTCGATCATAATTATTTGCGAAAACACCTCTAAAAAACCACTATAGTTGAAATTACAACGAAATTACTTATCTATATGCTTCGAAATCACTCAAATATATTCATAACATTAATATTCATAATTTACTTGCTCATTATTTTGATTACTCAAATCAATAATTTTTACAAAAATATTTTAAAGTTTCTGAGAATTTCTAAGCGCTTTTAATCGTCGCGGGCGCTACGCTATTTTAGACCTTATGAGGGCGTTTTTTCAAGTTTTTATAGAAATTATGCATTCACTCGGATCAGTCCGGGATAGCCCTTTCGAGGTGTCGTCTTAACGCAATTCCTTTGTATAGTGCGATGTTGCCACTCTTATTAGTTATTCCGCTTCGTAATATTTTATTTATAGGTGATATTTTGTTTATGTAGGTATTCGATAGATTCCTATAGTCTGTTTTTTCGCAGGAGACAAAAATAACAGATCTTTATTAGATTTGTTTAGCCCGAATAATACAGTTTTTATGATTCTGGTTCAGATTAGATTTAATTTTAGTCACTTAAGTTTCGTATATTGTTCAAAATAATGAAATAAATCCACAGAATCTGCAGTTACGAAAAAAAGCAATATCATTTTAGTCTCCGGCGAAAAAAAAAGATATATATCATGATTAATTAGCTGCTAACTGAATGATAAAAATTCCTGAATAACCTACATGTATTGTAAGATATTAAAAATATTTTAAACAATATTAACTTCTCATTTATACAATAAGAGAAAAAAAAATTGTTTTCTTATCGGTCACCACGCTCAAAAAGTGTAACGTGATTTAATATCAAAGACTTAACTGCATAAATAAAATAAATAATTAATTATAATTGCATAAGTTGATAAAAAATGCTATGCAATAGCTTTACCGCGGCAGCCCCCCGAGTGCCACACATCTTTTTTTTTTATGAATACTGGGGCGACACTGAAGTTTTTAGAACTGGCCACTTATAAATGATATAATAAAAAAAAGTTCAAATTTTGAAAATGGAACTCTTTGCCAATATTATTGTGTATTTATTTTATTAATTTGTCATTTGTTTACGATTTTGCAGCAAATTGGAAATTGTCTGTGTCATGTCAGCATGAATTTAATGCGAAAACCTACTAATCTCACCAATGATCTGCATGAGGAATGGCCTTCTACAGCGACCACTGAAGATAACATCAGTGTTGTGCAGCATCTGATAGAGACTGACCCACAGTAGATATTTGAAACATTATTTTTTTAATTATTAACTTACAAAAAACATAAAATATTTTGTTGAGTAATCATTTATAATCGACAATTTACATCTAGTTATAGGATTATGTGGGCATTATGTGGTGATTATGTAAAAGGCAACAGAGGGAAAAAATCAAGAGTTAACAACTAAAAACATATAATCTGCAGTTACCTACTCACTTGCCAAGTGTGGCAATTATGGCAAATATCCCCCCATGGGGTAATCTATGGGGGAGGTCTATGTTCGGCAGTGGACTTTAAAAAGTTGTAACTGTAATGGTAACAGTATGGGCTTAAGCATTTAAGTGTAAATATGTACTATAAAGAAAAGGAAAAGGTATTTCCATATAATTTATGTAATTGAATTTTATACATTAAAAAACTACAATAAGCCTTGAATAATTTAAACAATTTGCATGAACTATATAAAAGTGAATAGGCTTTTGCCAAACTAAGTCATTGTAATTTACCACTTCCTTGTCGGCTCCATACCACACTGACTAAGTATTTGGTCACAGTGCTGTGGAGCCACTGGTTCAAATCACACACTGAAGAAGTATTTGTATTGCCTACAAATAATTTTTCCAGTTCTGGATAAGTCTAAACCACCTCCACAATTTAGCAGAAAATCCTACTGTAGGGATCTTTGAGTACATCAGCACTTAACATTGTTTTTTTCTTTACTTTTACTTTAAACTGAATTGACAAACAAACTTATAGTCTACTTGATGGTAGGTGGCTAAAAGGTGAGATAAGCACTAGAACAATAGGTCAAAATGCCATTCCTAGAATTCCACACCCTATAAATTAATGTAATAATTAATTAATTTAATTACTTTTTATAAAGAGAAGACCTATCAAATAACTTTTCCCCTTTCTTAAGCACTACTTACTACCCTTAAGTGCCAACTCTATAATGACAATTTTGCCACCAGAAGCTTCACGATATTATGATCAATTTTTTTAAAGATTTTTAATGAAATTTATACAATATTAGAATGTTCCTAAGATCTGTTGGATTTTAATACATAATATTAATCTTGAACTATCAGTACATCGGGCCAGTTTATTGGGCCAACTTTCGCCAGGTTACTTAGCATATTTGGTCATAGGCAGCCAACCAAATACAATAGTTTACAGTGCACTCATCAAAGCATCTTGCAACAATCTTACAACAGCATTCACATATTGGCCTTACAATCATCAATAGTAGCATATTAAAAAAGTAAATAAACAAACTGTAACACAGATAATAATTGAATATTATGTATAAATAAACTATCGAGGCAGCAAATTTAACTTTTAATGATTTATTATTTTAAATTAAAATATTTTTAAGGAAAATATTAAAATGAAGCAAATTAAACAGTAATAAATCTGCAATGTGTGATAAATAATTTCTACTAACATTTTACTAAGTACTGAGTCCTTGGATTTTCAAGACGCGCATTAATTTAATGAATGATTCATTACTATTTAAAGCTCTAGTGTAGACAATTCAATTTCAGTTCTCACACAACGCCCTAATAAAACAATTATGTTTTACGTTTATAGAACGTCACAGGGACGCGCCCTAGAAAATGTTCTTACTTCTTTTTTAACAGAAGCAATTACTTATTACAGAGACTTACTTGACTAGTCATCTTCGTTGTCGCTAAGATTGGGCTGCAAAAGAAGTAATGGTTAACAGAGGAAATCTTCAAACGTCACGAAATGAATAATACTTAACGCAATGAGTTTCGATAATTTTTAACGAAAATTGTAAAATTACTTGAAATTATTAGATACACACTCTACCTCTCAACTTCAGAACCATACTAAAAAAAAAACATAGATTACTGAATATATAATAGAAAAAACCTACTAATACAACTTTGACCAGAGTTGCCACCTCAAAAATGATCTTACCACTAAATCCAGAGAAAAATGTCGCCATATTTTGGAAATTTGGATTGAAAAAAAAAGCCACCAGATCTCGCTACTTATTTTTATTAAGTACTTTACATTTATTACATGAATAAAATTAAAAAAGAAGTTATTAAAAGTAGGATTTTTCACCGACAGGTTTTTTCGGGTTTAAATATTTTTTTCCATAAATTGAGAAAATAAGTCATTAATTTTTGTACGTTTTATCATTCCATCGGTACACCGATAAATATGTGAAGTTAAAAGAGGCTCCCAAATAAGAATCTAAAATAAAATTAGGAAAACAGACACTTTGATTTTTCGAAAATCCTATTTGTATTAAACGCCACAACGTTACCACTGTACGATACAATACAATACTAATATTAGTTGCCGACACGAGTCGTGAACACAGATAAACTGTGGTGGGAAGTAGGTACACTGTCGGGCAAAATTATTGGGTACCTTTATTATTTCAATTCGTAATTGAATATTTTCGCCGACTTTTATGAAAATTTTTACTCGAATACATCAACTTTTACTTTGATACAGTAATGTTGCAGATATTCGTGTCCGTTATTTTATTATCTACTATAAAGTATTTAATGTATACCTGGTGATTAGAATTGATTATTTTATTAAGAAGAAGAAAAAGGTGATATGCCTTCCATAGAATCTGGTGTTGCGGTGCGCCGTACAGTAGCTTCTGAGACATTAGTCGCCTCAGCAGTCTGTTTATATACGTCTATGATGTTTTTCGCAGTACCTAATTTTTTCATATAACTAAACACTGAATAGACCATTTGTTGGGATTGTCTATTTAACACCTAATTCTTCCTTCTCTGCATATTTAGACCAAAATCTGAACACTCAAATTATAACAATAAAAATTATTAAAAACTAGAAATAACAAAAACAATTAATAACAAGGAATACGCAAACAACAATTAACAACGAGGTAACAAAAACAATTAACGAAAATAAACTAATTAAAAAGTTATCACTAAAATTATTGCTCTGAAGTGTACGAAAGCCGAATGATACGTTCGAAACCAATAGACGACGAGAATTGACTGATGAACCAATCACGTTGAACGTCAGCGTGGTAAACGTCGTATCGACCAAAAAAAGCGTGCTCGAGACTTATGTCGGCAATTATATATTGGACACACTCTTGAATTAATTCCTTTAAGCCGATATTACACGGTTCAATATAATTGAAATAATTCCATTGAAAAGCACATTGAACGACTTTACCAATATACACGTATATCATTTAAATGACATTCAATGTTCACAACTCATTGCGACGTCGCGCCAACACGTACTTGCGGAAATTTCGTTAATCTGCGACTATTTAATAAATAAGTTAAATAAAAAAAAAAGAAAATGTCGGCGATGTTGGGTGCACCCGTGGATTTCAAGAAGGATAGGAGCCTCAAGCACCTTATTAGTAGAATTGGCAGAAGAAGATCCAAATTCATATTTGAACCATTTGCGGATGATGGAAAGTCAATTTAACTAACTTCTTGAAAAGTTAACACTTGTCTGACTGTCACGCCACTTAAAACCCATTTTAAACATCCATGTGCGCAGGCAAAATAGGTTCAATAGGAACACGGTTCACGACGACACTTTTAAGAATGATGATGATAATTGTAGAAAGAGAACGGTTTGCGTTTCAAATCAGTGCTGCCAAATTTCTAATTGAAAAATCGCTAAAAACTAAAAAGTCGCTAAAACGATAAAAAATATTGTTAAGAGCTCAAAAATCACCAGATATGGTGACAAAATCACCAAGGTGGCAGCACTGACTTTGACAGTTATACAATCAGTGCTGCCACTTGCTAACAACAGTTAAATCCGTAGACAGAGTTACCAAATAAAACAGGGTTTGCATAGAATCTCTGAAAACATTTTACAAACATCTAGTTGAAGAAAAACAATTTGTCAAATTCATTTCCACTTTCCGCCTCAGTCAAGATCATTTGGAGTTATTTTGTGGAAATATAAGAAAACACAGTGGATACAATAATAACCCTAATGTTTTGCAATTCCGGGCTGCGTACAAAAAAAAAACTCAAAATCACTTGGAAAGATATGGGTCGCTTATGCTACTCTACTGAAGGTGTGTATAAAATATGCTTGACCATGGAAACTGTGATATGAAAACTTACAAGACAAAGAGTAAAATATAAATTCATTTCCATTATTGTTGAAACTTTAGAATTTTTCATTGAAAAAGAGGTATTTACATCCTTAATTCAACATTCATTTAATCAGCCAAGTACTTTCAATCACAGGGTTCACTTGATTCGGGCTATCATAAATAAATACACAAAATATTCGTTCAAAATACGAAGCTAAAACTGATCAAGATAAAGAATATTTATGTAAACGGCAAAAATTAACTAAACTTATATTGTTTAAATGCACTTAATAAAGTTTTTATATTTTTACAAAAAACATTTGTAAATTTTATTAATTGAAATTAATTTTTACCAAAAAGAAAACGAATAAGTGTATATAGGTATAATTCATGATGTGTAGATAGAAATAGTAAAAGTTGTAAAATTTTACTATGTTTCCTCACAATAAGGCGTAATAAACAAAGTATCATCTCTGGCTGGCTCATCCAAACGGCTCTTGGGAACCTAGTTCTAGATTTAAAAAAATATATTTCATTTGCTTCGATTCCTTTCATTTTATATACTTAGTTATTTTTTAAAATATTCATATAAAAATGTAATTCAAATGCAATTGTGATAATATTATCTATTATCGTACTCATTTGCCTCATATTATTCGAATAATTGAAAACTTATTTAAAATTTAACTTGTTTTAATAAATTAATTAACATTTTATGTAATTTAAATAAACAATAATTACATACTGATCATTCTACCTAACTAATCTATGATGACAAAAAACCGCGCATGCGCGTCAGCTGCACGATGTTCGCGAATAATTTGTATAAATCGTATCGGAAAAAAAATGATAACTGCGGAATCGTTAGAAATATTTGTAATCTCAAGTAAAAAATGTCAGTTTATAACTTTATTTATAAAAAATAAAATACTTTTTACGCCGCGAGAAAGTAGAAAAATACGTTTTTCTTGTAAGATATTGATCTGAGAACATTCAAACCACTGCAAATCGTTTGCAAATTAATTACCGATTCTGTAAATATTACCTTTATTGTGTTATTCGCTATAGAATTTCTCGCGGCGTAAAAGTTTTTTTTTATAAATATAGAGATTACAAATATTTCTAACGATTCCGCAATCATCTAAATTTTTTTTAGGTACGATTTATACAAATTATTCGCGAACATCCCGTAGCTATGCCCGTCACGATTGTTTACCGCGTAGACAGAGAATTTACCGCCCATAGCCCATACCATAAGTTCTCTAACCTCCATGGCCCATACGCAATGACTTAGAGTAGCGCACAGTTTTTGTTTGAAATAGCTGTTCTAGTACGTAAGTACATTATACTTCAATGGAGTATAGTCGCTTTTTAGTGGTTAGTGATTTTAGAAGTTGAAATCTGGTGGACACTTCGATTTAACCGTAGACAGAGAAACCTATAGACAAATTGACGCCTTCTTTCGCATTCGCATACGAAAAAGATAGATTTATGCATACGTCTTGCATAGAAATGAGATAGAGCGGTGTGATTGTTTGTCCCTTTCTCCGTGCCGGTTTTTTTTGTTTAGCAAACTCTACAGTTTGCTAAACAACTTTAACAGCGTAGCGATTTAAGGAGTTTAGAAGTTGGCTTAAGTGAGAAAAAAGTGTTTTGTGACCTTAAGATTGGTGAATCTTGTTCAGTTCAGTTCTTTGAACAATTAAAATTTTTATCTAAATGTGTTTAAAAGTCGTGAAGATTATTGTATAACCTTTTTTTTTTTTGCGGATGGAAAATCATCTAATGACGCCTTTCGCTCTGGGTGGAGCGTAAGGGAGTGTCAGACTTTAACTGACTAAAAACCATCCGTGTTCCTTCAGTGCCCTTACGTTCCGGAGCCGCGGTATCTCTTTCGAACAGCCCGCAGCCCCGGCAGGCGTCGGCCCTTGCGGGCCCCTTCACGCTGCTGACAGCTCTTTGAGGCGCGCGTGGAACAAAACGCGCCGTCGACACGGCCTGTCGTCGTTAGACGGACGGACGGCGAGCTACCCATTGCTCGCCGTCCACAGGCCCGCGCCTACGGTGGCCGGGGGCCACGACGTAGCCCCCGACGCCCGGGGCGTCTCCCGCGGCGGTCGGGGAGGAAAGCTGCTGCTCTCTCCTTCTTCCGCTCCGCCACCTCCTTCGCTAGCATCACTGCTTCGCAGAAGGTGGTGACGGCATCCCATTCCGTCTCGCTCCGGACCATGGCTTCGACCAGGGCCGGACGCGAGAGGTCGCCGCCGCCTATCGCCGCTACGAGGACACGGCGGTGCTCCGCCCAAGCAGGGCACACCTCTACGGTGTGTTCCGCCGTGTCCTCCGTTCCATCCTCGCAGTGGGAGCACCCGGGCGTTTCCTCCCGCCCGATTCGGTGCAGGAACCTCCCGAACACACCGTGCCCGGTGAGGACCTGCGTCAGGCGGAACCTCCCGCGGATACCCCTCCTACCATCACTGAGGATCCCGGTGGTGGCCTGTTCCGAGGACCATGGAAGTGCACGGCCTCGGACTTGTGCAGAGCCACCTCGAGACCCAGTTGCCGAATCCTCTCAACGACTATCGCAACCCCGCGTGTCATAGTTTCCGCCGCCGCCTCGTACGACCCCCCCTTGTGCCAGTACCAGCGTGTCGTCAGCGTAGCAAACTACGCTGATGCCGGTAGGGAGGTCGGCGCGCAGCACCCAGTCGTAACCGATGTTCCACAGAGGTGGCCCCAGAACCGAACCCTGTGGGACACCGCACGACATCTCTCGCCGGTTCCACTCACCGTTGCGACCGGGGTAGATGACGGGCCTGTCCGTCAGGTAGTCCCCGACTATACGACGGAGATAGGTCGGCACCCGGTGATACCGGAGTGCCTCCCTAATGCAGCTCCAGGGCATGGAGTTGAAGGCGTTGGCGATGTCGAGAGACACCGCCAAGACAACCCCCCCCCCCCTCTGGCCACTGCATCCCCCGTCGTGAGGGCTCTCACGCGCATGATGGCGTCCACCGTAGAGCGGAAACCAAACTGGTGTTCCGCAAGATCCGGCCCCGTCCCCGCAAGGTGCTCGGCGAGGCGGTTTGCAATGACTCTTTCAAAGAGCTTGCCCACCTCGTCGAGCAGCACCACGGGCCGGTATGCGGACGGAGAGTCCGCAAGGGCGCCCCGGCTTCCGAATGAGGACCAGCTTCCCCGTCTTCCAACGAAGCGGGAATTGGCCTCTCTCCAAGCATGCGCTTAGGAGCCCCTCCAGTCGGGGCCGAAGAGCCTCCGAGGCCAGGACCCAGGCTTTACCAGGCAAGCCATCGGGTCCTGGGGCGGTATTCCTGGCCTTGAGCTTACGTACCGCCACTCTCAGGTCTACCCCGGTCCCTTCCGGGATGTCGTCGTCGTCGTCCTGGTGGTCCGCTTCCGGCACCGCAGGTGGCGGAGCCATAGGCGGAGGCGGATGTTCCCCTCGCGCAGGGAACAGAGCGCTCACCACGTCCTCCACGAGCTGGGGCCGGAGACTTTGCGTCAGCGGGGGGGCCCAGATGCGGAGTTTATCCCGCACCATCTTGTAGGGGCGCCCCCACGGATCTCTGTTGAGAGTCTCCAGTATCTCCTCACGGGCCCGATCCCGGGCCCGCAGGACAGCCTTCCGGAGGGCGGTCTTCGCCGCTCTGTATCCCTCGTACAGCTCCGCCTCAATGGCTGCCGCATTCGGTGGACGAATGCGGAGCCTGCGATGCCTGGCGTACAGGTGCCGCGCGGCGACACACGCCTCGCGCAGAGACGTCAGCTCACGCGACCACCAATACGCCTGACGCCGGGCGCTTCCTGGCCGGACGCGGGGCATTGCCACGTCACATATCTCGGACATGGCCTCCTGGAACCACCCTGCCTCATCATTGACGTCGGCAGGCCTGTCCGGTGATGACACCCAGGCCTGCACGATCGAGGCTTCCAGGAGGAGCTCCCGGTCCAGCTGCTTCAGCGCCCAACGCGGACCACTCGGGGCCTGTTGGACTAGCGCGCTCGAGGGCTGGGTGGAGACATCAAACCGGATGTACCGGTGGTCGGAGTAGGTCTCCACCCCCTCCATAACACGCCAGGCAATAGCACGCGGCGACAGAGAGAGACTTCGCACCCCTATTGTATAACCTAAAAATTCGTTATCGTCCTTTCTCATTTGAGGCCACGCCGATCATTAGTCTATAGGTTTCTCTGTCTACGTGGCTAGTGGTGTTAGTAGCTTGCAACATATCTATTTATCTATGGTGTTAGTGATACCTTATACCCCTATATATATGTATAGTGTAACCTTATACCTCTATTTATCTATGGTGTTAGTGATACCTTATACTACTACACTGAATCAGGCTCCCTACACCCTGATTCAGGGTGGTGTAATAAGAGAAAGGGAGTAAGGGTCCCTAATTAGGGCGTCAAATTGGACCCGGTCTGCAGTGCCCCTCCAATGTGCAGTGTAATAACACTAAGGGAGTTAGGGCACTTATTCGATGCGCGACTAGGGATGCAAACGATACATCAATTCTTTCAAACATCGATATATCTATATACGATATATAAACATGGTTCTTCATGAGCTAAGTTTTATGATGAACGATGTTTTGCCGTCAAAGGTTACGAAGTAACCAACTATTCGAAGGTATAAAATTCCGTATGTTAAAAGTTGCGAACGATGATTATCACTAATTTTATGTTACCAAAAATAAATATACGAAACAAAATATGTCAAAGTTAGATAACGTCAAAATTTTTAAAGTAAGAAGGTTTACGAGTATTTGGCAGAAATAATTCAATGCCGAAAATTTAAATTACGAATCAACAAAAGGGCGAATGGTCTTTCAGCCATAATAGAAGTACAATTGTCTTCTATCGGTAATTCCAGTTTCGACATCAACTTGTAGTTACTTTTATTGTGTGAATTAATTAAGATTAGAGATTAGAAGTTTACAAATATTGAAAATGGATTGAATTTGTTTTATTCATTTTCTTATTAATAATTTTATTGTTTCAGCTTTAACTTAATGAATAGTTTAAGTACAGTCTTGTAAGTTAATAGTTATTTTGTAATGGAAATTATAAATTATAAATTTATCGGCTTACGGTACTTCGTATTTCGTTACAATCATTTTTCTGAAATACGGATTTTTATGCATGAATGATTATTCACCTGTTTGTATTTCGGTTTAGTTTCATAAATGTACTCAGAAAATGCGATAATACTGAAAGTAACATATGGAACTACCATAAAAAATTAACGCACCACATGATAAGAAATAAAATTAAAGCAGAAGACGAATTTCATATATTACATGTGGGATATCATGAAAGGGTTATTTCCCGGGCTTCATAGCCTCGATAAGATCTATTTGCATATCGTGGCAACTTGGTATCCCGTGAGCGGTCATTTTCAGAGGCTGGATCTACAATAACGCAGGACTAAGCACCAGGTTGTCAAAATTGTTATTTTAAAATTCTATGCGAAAGAAATAAACGTAAAAGAAATACATATTTTATAAATCTTCTTTACTGATAATTATTTGATAAAATTAAATGTGTAAAAATAAATAGTGTAAAACTTCCTAAAATAACATAAATAATATAATGTTTGATTATTATACTTCTTTGTTTCATTTCTGTTCAAAATGATTATTTATTCCTTATACATGTATGTATGTGTTTATTTATTATGTGATCATTTATTCCTTATATATGTATTCCTTACATATGTGTGTATTTAAATGATGATAAAAAACATCAAAAAATCGATATATCGTACATAAGCTTGATGTTTTTAATGAGCGATGTTGCATTCTATAGAAGTGCTTACTTGAAAAAAAATTACGACTCGAGTTAACTCAAGTTCAAATTCACACAACTCAAACTAAACTCTGGTTACGCAACTAGAGTTTGCAGGACGAAACACAGTAAATAATTTGTTACAATTACTTTAAAAATATCGATTCAATAAATATACAGGATGTTTGGAAGGTCGATGCAAAGCCGTAAAGCGGAGCTATAGAATATTTAGAACCATTTGAACCCAACTTGTCGTAGACGAAGTGCGACTATTATTTTTTTATCAAGCTTTAATGATTTTTGATGACAAAACCCAAAATTTTGGAG